TTTCTGCACCCATCCTCAACACACACACACCCTTATATGTACACGTACGCATACAAACACATTTGTCTGTCCCACGCAGTTAAAAGCTACAGAGAGGTTCGCCCACGCAGTATTGCATACTGCACTCTGCGGCCTGCTGCATTGAGTGTGTGTGCAGTAAGAGCCCTGTTTAACCGCAGTAAAAACAACGTGTCTTCTTTGTGCTGATATTAACATCTCGATACTTTTTGCTGGGCTGGAGCGGATCACACAACAACAGGATGCCCAGGTTTGAGATCTGTTGAAAAACAATCTTCTTCTCAGCTCCAACACAACACACAACAACACTAGAGTCATGTACCTGAAAGTCTCTTTTAAGCCCAACCCACAGGAAAGACAAATCACACATGAGATCTTTTTTATATCGCAAGTGTTTTTCCTAGGTAGCTATGAGATTAGGGAGAGCAAATAGAGATTACTGCCTTTCACATTTTTCTCCTTAGAAGAAGACATCAGTAATCTCACATTTATTTCTTCTGGAGATTTAGAAGAGATCAACAACTCAGAAACCCATTTCAGATTTCCAATATACTAAGATCTGACATCAAAAGTTAAAATGTGTTCAAAAGGTTATTTCAGGTTCATTAAACATTCTTTTAGTTCTTCCAGGGTTGTTTGCTCTTCAGAACCGAATTAAGAAGGCCTTTTATTTCATGTAAGAAAGTAGAATTTATATGAAATAATCGCATTTTTTTAAACAAGAAAAGTCTGACAAGACAAACTTTGGATATTTGCTTGTATACGTTTTTAAAGATGTAAAAAGCCTTGAAGTTTGAAGGTTTATAGGCCTTTCACCAAATCAACTTCCTCTTTCTCTTAAGTTCAACTACCTGACAGGTGTGGCCAATTGAATTCCAATTCTCACTTATGAACGGAAAAAGAGCAACTTGTGAAAAGATTACAAGAATCTCTCTTAAAGTGACAGTATACAGCATTTTTCGTATTAGAAATAACATTTAAGTCATTGTTGATACTCAAGTGAAACTGAATACTTTTTTGAGTTGATTAACTTCTGATTTGAACATCTTCATCGGGGAGGATCTGACAGTTTGAACAAGTACAAGAATCAATCACCAGACCAGTGGATGGGGTTTATGCCAAAGGATTTACACTATCACTAAACAAACATGTTGAATTCCTTTTTCAAGGCTGTAATTAAAGCAAAAGGTGGTTCAACAAAATAATGACACAAGGGGGTGATCCTTTTTCCAACTCAATGATTCTGGTATTTTATTTTATTCTGACATGTTGGTGTTATATCTTTCACTTGGATGTTACACGTTGCACTGAGTAAATACTGCTGGATAAAACAAAAACTGTGTCCGTCTTCATTTCAGGCTGCAAAGCTAAAAAATGATTATATTCCATGCCCACTGTATGCTCTATTACTTTTCTAGTGGTTCATGATTTGCTGTTTAAAGGTAAGGATTTTGAAAAATTTTCTTACTCAAATATTAGGACTTTAGAACATACCTAGAAAAATGTATAACAATACCCATGGAGTTTATTTACATGACAAGATCCATACAAGATTTTATTAATTTACATGACTTTTCCAGGGTTTTCTTAGAAGAAGAAAACGCTTGTTTTGTCCTTATTTTTTATTATTTAAATCATCTTGAAGCCCCCCGGCTGAGAATCACTGGTGTAAACAGTAAAAAAATTCTCTAGTGCAAAAAGTTTAGATTCAGCGCTAATTCAACTGAATCAAAAAAGAAGATGGAGGTTTTTGGCCTGCTGCTCTTTTCACAAGTCAGCTGAAAAGTCTAGAACTGAGTTTTTTATCTAAGATCTACGATCAAGTTTGTCAATGTGAAGCACCTTGAAGCAGAACACACTGATATCTATCACACTCACATTTCCTTTTCCTGCATCAGTTGATGGGTGATAGCAGTGGACAGCGTGTTTGATGTCAGATGGTGACCCAAATAAGCTACAAAAAGCTTTGTATGTGCCTGTGGCCTCTGTCGAAACACCCAGAGGTCTGATGGGGATGTGAACTATACTCTCAAAGGTGCGTCTGTGCGTAAGCGAGCGAGCGTCTTTGTGTGAGGGTCAAAGTAGACTATAATTGTGTGTTCGCAGCTGTATGTGAGTGTGTGAGAAACGGCCACAGCTGAGGAACCTCCTAATGGAGCAATCACGCCTGGTCGCGAGAGCGTATGTGTGTGTGTGTGTATTGAGGGCACACTGCTGTCTCTGTGTTGCCCAGTGAGCTTCACTGTTCTCCGGGCAGCACATCTGCGAGATGTGGGCGGTGTGGAGCACCGGTGTCTCTCTCTCTCTCACAATTTCTCCGCCTTTATATTTTCTTCTGTTCTACACATCTTCCCTTATAGGGATTTTTGACCTCTGCCCCTGTAGTAACAGCAGCACCCACCCTTCTCTCTCTCTCACACACGTACACATACACACACACACTCTGGGGGTGGGAGGGGAATATCGGAGTGTGTCATCGTGTCCGGTCGCAACACACGTGCATGTGACTGGCTGGTGGCCTCCTCACTCAGTGACTCTCCACTGCACCTGTGTGTGTGAGAGAGACCCAAGACAGGAAACACAGAAATAACTGCCGAGTGTCTTCATCCTGTGCCGAAGTGTGTGTGTGTAAGTGAGAGGGAGGAGTCAGACACTTGCACCTGGGCAGTTTGGCTCTGTCACACTCACTGCCTTCATACTGTTGCACAAAGTCACCAATATGATCAGAGACAGAAAGAGAGATAGATAGAAGGAATAATACAGACACAAAGAGAAAGAGGAGCTGATCTTTTGTAAGCAAGATCCAAAATTAACTTTTGGCCTCACCTGCCAATGACCTGTAAATATTTATCGGCCATAATTTTTTTTTGGGATATATTATTGGTCTGTTATAGATTTAGCATTGGCATTTATAAATATATACATACCCATTATGAATTCAAATGAATTGGGCTGCTTTCTGACATTGATGTGCCTCACAGAATGGCCAGTTCACAACATAACATAACGTAACGTAACACATCGCAACATAAACAAACAAAACAACATAACATAACATCACAAAAACATATAACAAATAACAACACATCACAATATGTAACATAAGACAGCAAATTACAACACAAAACAGCATATAACTAAACGTAACACATTATAACACAACAAAGCAAATAACATCACATAGAACGTAACATATCACAAAAAAAGAACATATAACATAATATATAACATAAAATAGCACAACACACCACAGAGCAGAACAAATAACATAACACAAAAACACAACACAGCATATAACAGAACACAACATATAACACATCACAATATATAACCTAACATAACACAATAACACAACATAGCATAACAACAATGCAGCATATAACACAACTTAAAACAGAACAGCAATTAACAACACTTCACATGTAACCTAGCATAATAAAACATAATACAACACATAGAACATTAAAAACATACAACATATAACATTTATCACAACAAATGGCCAACAAAGCGCACGACACTGACAAGGTACGCGATACAGTACGAGACCAAACGCGATTTCGTTTATAACATGATATAACATGACACCTCACAGCATAACTAAACATAACACATCATAACCTAAAGCAAATAACATCACATATAATATAACATCAAAAACATTGAACATAACACATCACAAAATATAACCTAACACAACATAACATAAAACACAACACAACAAATAATAACACATCACAATATATCTATATATAATCTAGCATAACACAATGACAAAACAGCAAATAACATAACACGTAACATCACAAAAACATAGCAATATAACATCACAATATATAACCTAACACATATCACAACACAGCTTATAACAGATAACACAACATATTATAATTGAATGCCAGTTTTTCCTTGAATTTGTTTATTTTGGACACTTTCTGTACACTATCAGCCAAATAAAGAGCTAAAGAGAGCTTAACCACTGTCCCATATATAGTTCACTTTACTGAGATATGAGTGAGGCCGTTTTTCCAGCAACACACTTTTTCAGTGTTAAGAATCAGCCGCTGATCTATCAGATAGGTAGGCAGCAGTAACCACAAGGGGACATACCCAGAGTCAAGCTGATTTTTATAGCAATGTGGCACATACAAGCCAAACAGAAACATGTGCATAAATGCAAAAATATCACCATCATACCAAAATAGCCTCATAAAGACGGGTGGGGGGAGGGAGAGGAAGAGGCTGAGAAAGAGAGAGAGACAGATAGAGAAAGCAAAAGAGAGAGAGAGACAGAGCACCTGCAGCAAGGTCCACACCTACACACAGGTGTCAGGAAGAGATAGACACAAAGAGAAAAAAGAAAAGAAAAGAGAAAATAGAGCAGAGGAAATCAGACTGCGGTCAACAAAAAAAGCTTTTTCTAGATTTGTCAGTGTGTCAGAGTGTGTGTGTTTCTGATTCAATGAACATGCCACCACACCTGTGTGTATGTTGGTATATTTGTGGCTGTACTGGACATAGTAGTTCAACTTATGACAATATAGAGTGCCTCAAAAAAGTGTTTAGACACTTTAAGGAATATTCCAGGATCAAAAGTTAAGCTCAACATTTGTGGCACAATGTTGATTACCACAAAAAAATTACTTTGATTTGTCTGTCAATTTGGATACGGATGATAACTTCATTTTTTCCTTTTTTTTTAATGAAAAGGAGGGACGAGTTGAAATACACATTTAATCTACACCAAGAAGAAAGCATTTGAATTAAAAAAAAAAAAATCTTGGCAATCTGACCTTTGCCAATGTTTGCATTTACGTGGGACCCATACATAGAAGAAATGTGTTTATATAACCCCCATGTATGTCTGGCGGTGAAAACACAGGTAGGTGCATATAGCACACATGTGGGAGTGTGAAGATGAATGTATCATTTCCCAGAAATCTGTCTCCTCGTACAGGTGCTGTGTGAATCATGTGTGCATCTCATCCCAGAGACACAGTCAGAGATGACAGATAACACAATGACATCATCAGCTGAGGAGCAGACAACAACACACCACATGAGGCTTCCAGAATCCTCCATTCTGATGACTCTACAACCCTTTGATCCAGTTTCACAGCACATGGCCTTCGTTCCAGAACCACTAGAACATGTACGAGATATCACCCAAACTTCACTCAAAGCCAGGCCCAGCCTATTAGTACTTCATATTCAACTCAGCATAGAGGTAAACTAGGGCAGGTAGTGCTGCTTAAGTCAGAGAGATCAACATATATTTATCCAGCTCTATTCAGGCCAGTCAGCAGATCAGCTTGTTGTCAAGCTTTTTCATTTTCTAAAATGAGCAGCTGACTCATGTGCAACGCTTTACACAGCTGATATGTGAAACAGACATATTTACAGTAACCTGCTTAAAACAGGTTTTAAACGTATAGTTAACATCAAAATGACAATTCTGCCAGCATTTACTCACCCTCATGTTATTCCAAACCTGTATGACTTACTTTCCTCTGTGGAAAACACAAAAGAATATGTATATTGAAAAATGTGTATTTGTGCCTATACAGTGAAAGTCAATGGAGTCCAGTGTTTCAAATTTGACTTATTGATGATAGAAGTTATTTTCATGCCACTCCACTTTCTTCTCTAACTCTTCCTAAAGCTTTCAGGCTATGTGAACTAAATGCCCCCACAACCACCCAGAAAAACTTTCCAGCCATCTAGAAACCAATTACTTGCCAATGCCCTAGCAATTTTCCAGCTTTCAAGTCTCAATTCAAACGTCCAGCTTTCAAGTCTCAATTCAAACGTCCAAAGTATTCAAACCAAGGCCTAAATAACCTTCATGATTTAAGGCTTGGTAACACAATTACCAACTTTCCTTTTCTAATCATTTCTGCAGTTCTGTTTGGTGATGCTAGTGGCACAGAAATTACACACTTTCACCTACTTTAATCTATAGTAGATTTATTCAGAGACATGTTTTTATATTTATGTGCTGCCACCTAGTGGTTGTATTTTCACTGAATAATTATTACACAATAATAATGTGTAATCGATTGTATTTTTACTACATTTTATATTTTACTTCAAATAGATTTAAGTAAACAGTCTCGTGTGTACAAGCAATCATTGTCATTCATGTTTCTATAAAGCAGAATAAGTCTTTGGCTGCTGTATTAGAATGCTGCAGAACTATAATGTCCACAGAGATCAGAGATTGGCCAGAGCATAAGGTACAGCCACACAGCAGATGCTCTAGAGCAGACAGTGTGACAGATTTAGCTTCAGGAAATATCACAGGCAGAAGGTTGCTGCTGGCTTTAGGGGTCCAACTTGTACCACAGACTCACATTTTGTCAGAAAAATACAATTACTTCATAGTTTGTACATATAATTTGTCATTTTATGCATGGACCAAATAAGCCACTTGTAAAATACACCACTCCCCTATGTTAAAGGGGTCATATGATGCGATTTCAAGTTTTCCTTTCTCTTTGGAGTGTTACAAGCTCTTGGTGCATAAAGAAGATCTGTAAAGTTGCAAAGACTAAAGTCTCAAATCCAAAGAGATATTCTCTATAAAAGTTAAGAGTTAACCACGCCTACCTAAAACGGCTCGTTCTAACACGCCCCCACACTGTAAACCCGAACAGTACTACTAACTTATAAAGACCTAGATCCGCTTCGTCATGCCTAGAGCTGATCTGTGCTGGCCGCTGAGGGAATACATCAACTTAGTGCTGTGGATCGCCGGATCGGCTTTCACCGTGGACGAAGCGGAGTCCTGCCCGGGGTCGTCACATGTGGTTGCCGCTCCTTGGTCGAATCCGCCGGGTGCGCTGTTCTTGACCCCGCCTCCTCTGCTCACTCTAGCCCGGCCTCAGCTCACGCTAAGCCACGGCTTCCGCTCACGCTAGGCCACCGTGTTTTTCGTTGTGAAAGCGAAACTACTTTGTTTGGTCTTCCAAAATTTAATCCCATTCTATTAACCAATGTCTTTGCTTCTGACCTTTGATGATCCAGTTCAACCATAATAATAAGCACAAATTACTCTAGACAAACATTTGTGTGTCTTTTTTTATTGCTGAAGTGTGTTGAAA